CCCCGCCCTTTATTTGCACATTTGACTAGTACAGGAAAGAGAGTTCTTTTGTTTTTACAGTATTAAGTAAACAGTGAAAAACTCTTTGTGTCTTGGTAGTCTGACGTATGAAGTCTGAGTTCCCTGAATACTGCAAATGCCACGGTTGTTCACTTTATGTCACACAACATTGTAGTTGTGTGGTGAAAATGCAGAATAATGATGGTGACCGCCTCATCCCCAGGACTTCAGAGTCGTTCTTTTCCGTGAGCCCATTCTAGCATCCTAAGGCCCTTCATCTTTCTCTCATAATCTGCTTTAGTGTTCCTCCCCTCCTGGCCCCTGCTTTGGCAAAGATAGGAATCACCTCTGTGAGGCAGAAAGCAAACAGAAGATGGAACAGCACACTCTCCTTGCAGGGCTGGCATCCTGCAGTGCTCCTAGCTCAGGCTGGCATGAGGAGTCTTAAACTGGATTAGTGTTGCTTTGGCAGGCCCTAATATCAAGGCAAAGTAGAGTAAGCAGCTTGGAGTGGTGTTTGTTTCCATGATCCTGAGCAAAATGAGTGTTCTGGCTTTACTTTTAAAGCTTCAAGAGCCCGACAGTGTTCTTTGACACTGGTATTCCCTTCAGTCTTGTTGTCATGGTAGTGTGGTGTAGGCCACGTCCTGTTTGCTCTGCCTGTTGGTCTCCGTGGCAGCTGTTTGATGTCCTGTAGATGTGACCTAGCTTAGGGAGTTGTGTTGCCTGCGAGACTTAGTTTGGGGGTTGGTGTTTGGGGAGATGTATTTCACATGAGTATGTTTTGTTGTGTAACCTTTGCCTTTGGCTGGAGGGTTGTTAAAAAATAAAAAAAACAACAAACCTACAGGTGTTGTGCATCGATTGAAGTCCCTATAAGAATTTTAAAATTTCTAGTTTAGCTCTTGTGTGTTGTGAGTTTTGTTTTACTTTTTTTTCAGTTTTTAAGGGGCAGAGGATCTGCAGCAATACTTTCAGTCTCATTCCAATAAGGCTGTGGTGATGGCAAATTGTTACAATCAGACAGCAGGTGGCCATGCTTATGTGTGTTTGTAGTGGGTGGATATTTATACCGCAAGCAATACTTTTGTGAGGCACCCATAACTGAATGGCCAATAATCTCATCAGCAGGGAGGACCTAACCTTGCAGTGACCTGCGCTGGATTTACCATCATAATAGCTTCCAGCTTATTGTGCTTCTAGCTCAGCCCCTCTTAAATGCATTACTATATTTTTACATGCAAATGTGTTTGTAATTGGAGATGGTTTTTCACAGCCTGATGTAAACATTTTGAACTGCTCTGTAACTCTGAATAAGTCTCTTTTTTTTTTTTAATTTTTATTTTTTCCCCTCATTCCCTGAAAAACAGACAAATATAACAGTAGTGAATTCCAGTAGTTCAGGGGAACTTGGCCACAGTCAACAACACAGGCTGAGTGAGCTTTGGGACCATGGGCATGGGGCATAGGCTGGGCCAAACCTTTGTTCTTCTCCCCTGCATTTTTTCCTAGTGCAGTGAAAGCCTTATGCAGAGAGCGCTCTGCCTGTGATTACATGCATCAGTTGTGTTCTTTATTTGCTTCCTCATAGCATCCTCCAAATTTGTTATGATAATGGCTCTCATGTGGCCCACCATCGACAGTATAAAGAAGGGGGGACTAAGGTACACGCAACTGCTGTTCTTCCAGTAGCTACTGGTGGTGTCTTTGGCAGTGGTGTGGAGGTTCAAGGCATTGTTGTACTTTTCTTTAGCTGTATGCCATTAGGCAGGAAATACTTGGCCATTTTTATTGGTGTGGGCTGCTTGGCTGTTCTGCACAGGAAGATTTCCAAGGAAGCTAGTCAAGGACTTTTCAGTCTCTCTCCCGTTCCTTATTAGTTGACTCATAACAAAAAAATATCTCTGGTGAAACAGCTATAGTGGAAATGCAGTATTGTGTGTGAGAGTGTGATGGTGAACCTAGTTGCTTTTTACTGACACGGAGCTCTGCTATGAAAGTAGCCCAAGCATAAGAAATTATATGTTGCCAGGGTGGTGTATAACAGGAACTGTCAAGAAGAGGGCGGTGGTTGCCATGCCTGTGAGGCTGAGGTCTCCAGCAGCACGATGTGCTCAGAGGATGGCCTTAGTAACTGTGCTGCGAGGGGAATTTAGAAAGCCTGCGTGCCTCACGGCGCAGGCTCAAGGAATTGGGGAGCATAGCAATGTGTTTTCACCAAATCCCTTCCTCAGCATCTCTGTCTTCAAGGCATAAAACCTGGCAGAACTGAGCACAGAGAAGCCGCTCACCGTGATGTGTGTGCAGCCTTTCTATTGTAAATCTAATGTACTTTGAGGGCTGCATATGAAAAGCTTCCACCCTTTACCCCTGATGCACTTATTGAGAGTGTCTGGTGGGGATTGCTGAGCTTTCATCAAGTAATGCAGAAAGAGAAGCTTGGAGCATCACCAGTCTTCACTGAAGGGTCTCATTTTCCTGTGGCAGAACGTTGTACAATGACATAAGAGGAAGCTCTTGAGTCAAGATTGGCCACAATCCAACTTCTCTCTCTGTGTTACGTACAGGAAGGGCTCAGTAGTCCCCACCAAGCATCATCTGCGAGCAAGCAGAAATTAAATTGGGGGAAGGGGAGAGGGCAGGAGAGGACAAATTACGTATGTTCGGTTCCCACATCTTTTGGACTTCCTTACTTCCCCCAACCTTGGTCCAAATTAGACACAAATTGATGAATTGATTGGTGTGTTCTGCGGACCTGGTCTTTCCACTCAGATGTCTACAGGTAGACAAGGCATAATACCTCCTCCCCCAAGCTAATATCTGTGGGTATTTATTTCTTTATAGGGCAAGTGCTATTGTTTTTATGACTTGACCTTAAAAATGAAAATTTGAGAGAGGTAAGTTTTGCACAGAAGTCCTTGTGAAATCTATGGAGTGTGTATGTGGAGAGGACACATAACTGGTATTAATGCAGCATAACTCTCTGGTCTTTCTGTACTGCCTTGACCGCTCAATGAATCTGCTTCTCCTTTCAGAATAATAGGTTTGCTGCTGGCTTTGGAAACAAAGACTTAAGCTTCTGGTTTCAGAATTTCTAGGATCATTTCACAGGGATGTTGTAGTAAGGTTCTCAGATACTCCTGCAAGGGGATTGTGACTCTGAGCTACTGTATGTGCATCTAGATTTGGCTGGTGACTTCCTCTTCCTCAGCCTTTCATACCTGTTACTATTAGGATTTCTTTTTTCAGGTGCTTAGATAGGATCAAAGAATGAAAGTAACTGAGTACAACACTTATAATCTTTGAGACGTTTTATATATTTTCTTTTCCTTTTTTTTTTTTTTTTTAGGTTTGGAAGGCGTTTTGAATCCCCTCTTTTGTGGCAAAGCATTATCATGATCATTACTATGTTACTGATGCTGAAACTGTGCACTGAAGTACGTGTGTCCAACGAGCTAAACATAAAACGCCGCTCTTTTGCAGGTTAGTGACAGGAACTGGCTTTTGCAGGATAAATCTTTTTGAAAGCATGGCGCGCTGTATTTTGCAAAAAAGTTCTGTCTTAATTGCAATCCAGTGTCCTTGATAAATCAGTGTAGCACTTCCTGAACTTCTTTTTTTGAAACTGCTTTTTTCCAGATAAATATGTAAAGCTGTAATTTTATTTCAGATGGGTCTTGGTTCAGTCTAGAACTTAGAGTTCTCCTTAATATTTCACACCACGCCCTGAATATAGAGCTGGCTGTTATGCCATTGTGCCAGCCTGGATTTTTTTTTTTTTTAAGATCTTGGCCAGAATAAGAAGTTATTTTCTTTGGCTGTGCTTTTGACTAAGTTCTTAGGTATGATCATACACTATTATCTGAAATTTTATTTTGCAACTGCAAACACTTGCTTTTCTACATAATTTATTTTCTACTTATGAGTTACTGTCTGTCAAAATAGGAGGTGCTGTCATATCATAGTTACAAAACTATGCCTTTTTGTATACCATTTCCGTGGGATTAGTTGGGATTTATGGGAATTTTCACATATTTTTTATTTTGGTTATTTGTTAATTTTTAGGCATTGATAATTTCAGTTGTGGCCAGAGTGCTATTCTTTATTTAATGAAATGTTCAAGCTTTGTGGAAAGTATCTGCTTTTTTTTCCCCAGATAAGATGTGTGAGAGGGGTAGTTTTTGTGTTTCTCTGTGTTGACTTTGACTTACAACATTTTATGTTACAGCTTATTACCAACAAGAACAGAATTAATGCTGTCAGCTTTTTGTCAGTTGTTTTGCCAATATGGATGTATAATTTGTTCTCTCCATCTGTTCTCTTCGCTCACTCCCTAATAATTGAGGGTCTGATCCAGTTCCAGATACCCACAGCCATCATTAGAAGGCAGCAGCTACTGGCTGTGCAGTAGGGTAATTTGTGTAATAGCTAAGGAAGCTACTTCCATTCCTCTCCACTTTGGG